AACTCTTTGATGTTCTTTATATCTCAGATGTGATTTTTGTTACTCCTTTAGCTGCTTGAGTCTTCTTGATAATACAGTATCTTTCTTAGATAAGATTTAACTACAGCCTATTGTAGACCTGTTCAAGCCATACTGCCCAGAAACATTAGGCATTTTCTGTCCACTCTCTACCTTTGCTATTATACTCTGACCTTTCGAAAAGAAAAACAGACGCAAAACTTAGTGCCTACCCGACAGTCTCGCGAATACATAAAAGAATTGTTTCTGTCAGAAAAATAAAAGGCTGGAATTAAAAGGAAGTTTCAAAGTTCGGAGAAATACTATCTGATCGGTATATACCGGCTTGAGCGTCAATGTCGACGTCTCCCACGCTGTGAAAGGTTTCAAATTGTTGCCCTAAGACAAGGGAAGACGAATTGGTATTCATTATTTTACATCGCTTCTTCTTGTGTTTGTTCTATGGGGTGTTCGTTATCCGATCATGTGTTTGTTGTCCGAACATAAAAATCTTTCGCGAAAGTGTTCGTTATCCGATCTGTTCGTTAACCGATCGCCCACTGTAATCTAGAATCTAGCTGCAAGGACCCGCTTCGCTGGGTTTTTAAAAAGTAACGATAGTGAAGATTAAGATAATTACATTATATCCAATCTTACCCGTTTTCACATAACGCAAGAATTAGGTCCCCCGTTTCCAGACTAATTAGAGACCTGGTCTCGATTCTATTTCTGAACGTCTCCTGTTCACGTCCGGTCAAATGAACTATTTTCAATGTTTCTGGAACGTTTACAATCGTTCTATAATTGAACCAATATTCGAATTTTATGTTCGAATTTAATTTGAACAAATTCGAACAAAACGTTCGAAATAGAAAGCCACTTTCAACCACTTTCAAGCCCATATCTCCCGCACCCTTATAGCTATCGAGACGCAACCACCCCTATGCACGAATAGAGACTTGGGGCTACTACCACATACAAACACCATTCACGTGCGATGTGTAGTTTTTGTGAAAAAGTGAAATATAGGGACATACATGTCCATTTTTATATATAGATATAGATTACTGTTATTAATTATAGATTTTTCAATGGTACTTTTACAAAAAAATAAAACTGAAATGAATTATTTTAGTATTGTTTATTTTGTACAGGAATTATGAAATACAAGTCTCCAAAACCTGGAATGTCCACAAATTAAAACTAAACACCATACAGAGTTTTCCAGCAAATAACATGTATTGGAATGAAATAAAAACTGAATGTTTTCAGCCTCTTTCTGGAAACTGCATTAAGTGTTAATTGTTATGGATCATTAGCAGAGATTCTAAATTTAGAATGTTTTTTATAAACATGGTACTATCTCATTTGAATGATTAACAAGTATGTGTTACATTTTAAATATACAGCTGTCCCTTGATAGTCCGACGTTTTGTAATCCGACATACTCAGTAGTCCGATGCACCTCTTGTCAAGGTACCCATCCCTGTTACGTATCTGCTTGCACAGAGGCATGTTGTGACGTTGTAAAGTACTATATTATTTTTCTGCCCTCTACAATGATTATCGACACGACTGTGTGCCGGATATAGCCGTTCCCTAATGGGTACTTTACGCGGATAAGCGTTAGTGTGCCAGGCCTGGACTTTTAGCGTGCACCGAAATTAAATAATGACCAAGTTTGTCAATAACAAAATCAAATATTTAATTAATAATTCTAATAATAACTGTATACAATATTTAGTAAAATCAAATAACAAATTTATTCAATGAAACTCAACAAGAATCAACCCGACAAAACTCAAATCAATCTAGTTTCTAATTTAAATCTATTCCCCTTTGGAATTAGACAAAATTCAAAGACTTAACATATACAATAATTCTTATGAATTAAAGATCCTAATTGTCACCTCAATATACTAGGAACCTATTTCCTCAACTCTCAAGACTTTTTCTATTCATCGATCCACAAATCGAATAACTTCAAAATCGCCTTGGAACTATTTGATCCTATCAGACACCTATCTTTCATTCACTGCTACGAAGCTCACCAATCTTGTTGCTATCTGGAGTTCACCTCGTTCGTCTTCACTTCGGTTTTTATACTGTGAGGTGACGTCACAATTCTGAATGAGATCACTCCCCTCATTTACATACTTATTCACTAACAATAAAACTTTTCTATTTGTCTGGCAGCCTATTTTTCGACAATACTTGCTAACCTTTTACATTATTCTTTTTGACAATTTTCGGGATGTTTTATTCTTTTAAGGTTTAGCGAATTTAAGTTGTGCGTGTGGGGTCTTCTTCCCCCCTTTTCTCGGTGCGGACTTACTTTTTTCCACTCGGGAACGCAAGTGTGCGTGAGTTTTTTCTACGGCGCTTTTCTCTCGTTGGTGAGTTGGTTTCTCTTCTATTTTTAAGTTTCTAAGGTGAATGGTGAGGAAACCTTCGTCCTAACAAAACATAAGCCCCAAACAAAAATATAATAAAAAGCAAAATAAAAGTAAATAAAAATAATGCTCGGACTTGGTTCCTTACAATGTGAATCTTATGTGTCTGCTTGCACAGAAGCATGTTGTGACGTGAATCTTATCACCCAATTCTTACACAATGACACACATTTCGTGTGTTTTCTGTGAGCAGTTCTGGTACAAGAGTTGGAGTTGGGGAACAGTTATAGTGGGGAACAGTTGGAGTAGGGAATATTGTAGGCTATTGCTAGCAAAACAATGCCAAATATATAATCACTTTTGGTAATCTGGACACTTTTAGTAATCCGACACCCCTTTGGTTCCATACCTGTCAGATTATCAAGGGACAGCTGTACTTTACAATTATTATTATACAATAAAAATTAAACGTATAAAATTATTTTTTGATAAGGAGATAAATATGCATACTACAATAACTTATGTACTGTATAGTACATATCATCCTGCTCTAATATCATTTATTTGCTCCCCTTTAGAGGCTGAAAACATTTTATTTTTATTTGATCCCAAAACATATTATTTGCTAGTGTGTATGGTGTTTAGTTTTAAAAATGAATTATAAAATTGTAAAAGCTGTTTTTTTGTGAAGATTTAAAAATTAATCAGACAAAACACAAGTTTCTGTGGGAAAAGCTGGGAAATAGCCAAAAAATTTTTTTTGTGAATTTGAGTGGGTAATTAAATATAACATGTTTAATAAAGAGACACTTAACTATAACAGTTGCTGTCATTGTCAGCTTTATAAGTACTGTAGCTTAAAATGAGGCTAGTTTAATAATATGAGTTTATTGAATTAAAATAATTTGAATGAATTTACTAAGTAATCTCACAAATTCAAATTTATTTACTTTTATAATATAATAAATTTTTTATTATTTAAATAATTTATTATATTATAAAAGTGAATGAATCAAAGTAAAACTAAAATTGAATAAATTGTTACCATTTATATCGGATCAACCTATTATGTAGAAAACTTATGTATGTATGTGTTTAAATAAACACACTATTACACCAAGAACCAGCAAAAAACTCAAATATAATTTTAATGAAAAATGTTTTCTTTCATTTTTAAATGGAGATCTTTAGGTTACATAAATTGAATGCATTTTTGCTGGTTCTTTGTGTGATAGTAGAGAGGTTGAGGCAGACGTTTTAAACATGTAAACATGTAGGTCGGACGTTCGGCGCCGCTTTCCCGTAAGCCTAAAAGTTTGACAATGGTGTTTGGATAGTCGGTGGAATCACGCTCGACATTCCAAACACCATCGTCAAACTTCTAGGCTTACGGGAAAGCGGCACCGAACGTCCGTCCTACACGTTTACACGTTTAAAATGTTTGCCTCAACCTCTCTAGTGTGTTCATTCATTTATACAGCCAGTTTTCTAGTAGTGATTGCATGTTTATTTATAGTAATTATCTTTTTAATTAAAATATCTGTTGAGAACACCAGAATATTCTAAAAGCGCCACTGAGTTCTGAAATCTTTTACTCTTATACAGTACACTACATTCTTGCTCTTAATCTGAAAAATCTGTAGCTGTGACATTTATTTTACTATAATAAAATATATTTTACTGTATTTTGGTTATAATGTTTTTATTAGATTATGAAACCTTCATTCTAATTAATATGTTATTGTATAAATTTAGAAAAGTAATTTTTAATTATTGTTTCAGTGATATCATCAAATATGCTTGTGACAAAGAGGCGTTTAGCATGTCCTCAAACTGTTCAGCATCTTTGGGATGCTATAGCATATATTCGCCAACAAAAACAGATTCCTAATTTTGAAAGAATCTCTGGTTACATGAAGAGAATTCATAATTTGAATGCTACTGATGTGGAACGTCAGTTAAATTTTTCTGTTCGTGATGAATTAGTAAATGTTAAAAAAAGTGTTGGTTTTAAAGGATCAAAAGTAGGTGTAGAACAAGAAGGATATAGGATACCAGAAGAAATTCCAGTAAGTATAAAACTAAATTTTAAAATTTTAAATTTATATAACCTATTTGTTGCTAGCATTATTTTCATGCTGATTTAATGATAGCAAAACTACTTTGTATTTTATAATTTAATTATTATGCCTTTTTGTCCTTTTTACACTATGTGTTCACCTCGTTCACTTGAGGTTCGGACTTTATGCTGTGAGGTGATGTCACAATTCTGAGTGAGATCACTCCCCTCATTTACATACTTATCGCTAACAGTCAACTTCTCCTTTCTGCCTGGCAGCCTATTTCCTGACAATACTCACTAACCTCTTACATTATTCTTTTTGNTTTTTGATCTGAAAATAATTTATAACCTGAAAAATTAATTTTTTAGGTTATAAATAATAAAAGTTAATAAGGTTATAGAAAATAATTCTTCCAAACATTCACGAGACATTATTCTAACTACTCAGCGGTCTCACAACTGAACGACACGACGGCACACACGTTAAGATCGGCCTGTGCAGTCTGACACTGTGCAGGAAAATCAAATGGTTTTTCAATTCTATTCCGGCGGTTGGTACAGTTCGCCAAAACTGTTAAATTCCCCCCCCACTATCAGGAATTACTCAAGGTCGGGCATGCATGGTTAATCCTGAAATGATTAACTTAGCATGTATGTCCGCCTTTACAGACAAATGATCTAACAAAGACTTTGTTTACATAGGAACCACTGGGTGATCTCTGGACAGATGCATTAAAGAGCATGTCTATTTCATCAAAAAGTGCATATACCCACCGCATTCAATGCATATGCTTCTGAAAATGACATTAAAGTGATTTGCAATGAAGTTCAAATTTTACATCTGGGGACTAATTGTACCTGTTTAAAACACTTGGAGAGAATGGGAATCTACAAGGTGTCTTTCAAAAAACACTGCTTTTAATTATATGGAAGTAGAAACCTCCAGAACCTGGAAGTCTTTATTTGAAATTTCCTTTTGATCAAACACTCACGTCTTAAATAACTATTTCCAGATAAGATATTATGTGACATCTCTTTTAACCAATAGAACTGCTGAAACTATGTCTGTTTTACTCTCCTGTCTATTATGTATACATAACAAAGAAAGTATTGGAATTGTGTCAAGTGTGACCCTCCTAGTTTTTTTTGCAAAGCCATGTTTTGATATCTCCTAAACCCAAAAAATGTCAAAAAAAAAAAAAAAAAAAGGAAAAAGTTGTGTGTGTTTGTCTCTATTTTTTGTTTAATATCTTGGTGCAGCTATGATTAAAAAACAAAATTTGGCTTGGAATCTTGTGTATAAAGGGCATGATGCTATTAATAATAAATTTTGGTGGTTAAAGGTTGTGAGGAAGTAGGAAGATAGAGAGGGATTGGACTTAATGAAGATTTTACTCATGTTTATCATCAACAATCTTTTATATTAATAAAATTCATCCCTTATCTGAAAATTAAGATTTTTGACATTTCATAATAATTAATAATTTAAAAGTTTTTATAAAAAATCTCATAACAGCTGGGAAAGTTACACAACTCATTTCTAGATTACTTTAAAATTATGTTTTATGTTTATTCTTTTTCTTGTTAGTCTGATGATAGCAGTTTAAAATTGTTAAAATCATTTATTTCAATAAATTTTATTTTTTGTTGGATTTTCTGGTTTTTTGTGTTTATTTTCAGTTTGTTTTCTAATTAATATATGGTTTCAACAATGATGGTATAAATTGTAGTATGAAAAAATATAATTTTTAAATTTTTACCTTAATAAGTGATTTTATAACTTTTATTTTAGTTCTTTGAGAACAGAACAATCTTTATAACCTGCAATCTGTTTGATTTTTGGACATTTTTCTTACATATGCATTTTTAGGAACACATTACATTCAAAACTTGAAGTCTTGAGACTGTCTACACTATATTTTGAAACACAGCACCACCTATATCCTTGTAAAATGCTGCAAATTTTATGAAGTATATTATATATCTAGGCAATAGAAAATTACAGTAATGAAATAAATAAATAAAATGATTTTAAAATCATTTTCATCATGGAAAATAACAGAAATGCAGTCTTAGGAAATATAGAATTTCATTTGTTAAACTTGAACTCCATTGAATTTTGATCTGTTAATTTGAAGATTTTATATTACTACTAGCTGCAAGGACCCACTTTGCTGTGTTTTTATTTGTTTGTACATTTGTATGTAATATAGTTTTTTTTATATATAAAAGACTGTTTTTCTAAGTACAGTGGGTGATCGGTTAACGAACATAATCCGTTCCAAGACTTTGTTCGCTATCCGAATTGTTCGTTAACCGATTATCGATTTACCATAGGTTTTAATGGGAATTTAATTAATTCGTTCTGGAGACACCAAAAATAAACAAATATATACTTTCTTACTACGTTTATTTATATGTAATAATAAAAATACATACATACACAGTCTTACATTTTTATTAGTCATGTTTTTTNCATGTCCTTCTTCAGGTAAAACGGCTGGATTCCTTATTCTAAAACACTGTCACGCAATTTTAAAAAGAAAAATTTGAACGAATATTCGATTGTGTGATGTCTACTGCGCATGCATTATATCTGCTGTGTCCCCATCATTCAGAATCGCATTTATTCTTATCAAACATATATGATGCACTATTTTTACTATGATCATTTCATGTCCTCGTGCATCCTCCTACACCAACTAAAATCTTAGTAATCATTATGTTATAACGCTTGCCAAGCTAATGAAAGAGCCATTTCTTCTCGGGAGTTAATGCATGTAGATATAGTGTGCGCCTTATATATTTCTATCACTTCTAGCCATTTGTGGTGTTCCATGCGTTTTGTTTTGACTATTAATGATGCCCTTGCAAAGTCTACATTGATGCCTGGTTCTGATGCATAAATCGCAAGTGACGTGGTGGCTCTGTTGTACTGTATATCTGTTTTGTGTTCCTTAATCCTGGTCTCCATCAAGCGTTTCATTGATCCTATGTAGATCAAATCCCTACTGAATCTCTCATATCTCACCGGAATTCAGTATATGCCTGGCAATTTACTTGGGTCAGATGGGTCCTTTCCATTATGTAACATGTCATATTCCATTGGGGTTCTCCTGTATGCGATGTTGATCTTACATTTTTTGGTGATAGATGCATAAATGGATCTCAAGGCCAGGTCGTATGTAACTGGTATTCTTTCTATATCTTGGTTGCCTCCATGCACCCTCGTCTGTGTGTTGAGGTTCATTAGTGTTCTTTTGTGGCAGTCCAAGATTTTTGGAATAAGATTGTGGTAGCCGTGAATATTAGCAATCCTCTCAATGTGGTTTAACTCATTATCAAGTGCCTCTCGAGTGGATGAATGAGTGTACACCCTTCTGACCAAGAATCTAAAAGCGGCTACTTTATATTGAAATGGGTCACATGAGTCACTTGGGATGTACGTGCAGTTTTCAGACTGTTTGCAATATACTGTGGTATGGATGTTGGGTGTCCCAATTTTAATATCAATATCCAAGAAATTCAATTGTGCGATGTCAGTACATGCACAGTAGACATCACACAATCGAATATTCGTTCAAATTTTTTTTTTTTTTAAATTGTGTGACAGTGTTTTAGAATAAGGAATCCAGCCGTTTTACCTGAAGAAAGACATGGAAGGTGTTCAGAAAACGTTTGTTTTTACAAAGTTGTTTACTTTTTGTATTTCCACACACCAGTTAGAGGCTCGAGTAAATAGGTTTTATTTATTTATTATACACACCCTGGTGTGCATAAAGAAGTTGGATTGGAAATATTATTAGGAAAACTTTTCTATGAATCTCACACTTTGTGCCCTTACCGTACATTGTTCTCAACATCTGCAAACCATTAAATACAATGTTTCCTCTTATCAGTTTAACAGAGAAAAGGGAACAGCTTTCAGTGACCCCAATTTTGCCTTTGGTCACCATTCAATACTCTGCCTGCAGTGCCCCCTAGATTTACTCATCACCCACAAAGGGGTGTTGAGTAAATCTTTGCCCACTTTGAGAAACACTGCTTTACATAAACATTCAGTATGCACAAATTGCTCATACCAGCACCAAATAATCTTCATATCTGGTAGGTTTTTATCAAACTTCATACAAAAATGACACTGGACAGTTACAACTGATTCATGGAATGAAATTCCAACACAGAGAATGCTTTTTCTTTGCCTGTCATCATGACTATACTTGTCATGCCATATGACTGAAATGAAACAAAGAGATACTCATCTTATATGATCCCATGTCATTGTTGCATCTTTTGTGATATGTCTACAAAAACTCTATTAAATCAGGGCATTCATTTAGATATATCCAGTATTTTACAAAGCACATATTCATGCTTGTCAAAAACATATGAAATCATTTCAAGTTCTCTAAACACTTTAGAAATTATACCGTTTGTTAAATCTGTTATATGATTTTTTTTTCTGTTAAAATTGAAAACAATTTGTCTAAAAACTTTTGCTAAATATAAGTTTGAAGTGATAATTTCTGGGTCAAAGCAAGTCTTAGCTAACATAACTGAATAAGTTAAAAGTGAACTTCAAAACAAATTGCTTCATTACTGATTTACAGTTTTCATGAAATTTCAATAAATCAAGTTTTCATTTTAATCTTTTCAACTAAATCTGATACTCAAATTCAGTTGAAAAGATTACTTTTTTGCAGGTAAAAAGTTCTTACTCTCATTTATATCTTTAACTTTGATCAGAGAAACAAACAAACACTTTAGGCTTCATAAATCACTCCATAACATTCTTCAGCATTAAGTAGAGAGAAGTATTATTAAAAAAACCCAAAAGGGTACATAACAGTTTGAAATTCTTTGAGAAATTATTCCACTTTAGATGCTAGACTTGAATGTTAGCTTTGTACATAAGAAAGGAAAAGGATTTAAATAAAAATTGCAATACTGTTATGTTTTGAAACAATTTTGTCATTCTTTATACTGTCCACAAAGGCTTCAAATGTA